CATTCCATTCATCGAATACCCACAAGGATTGGACATCATGCCACAGTGTGGCATCAATGACAGAATCTGGTATCGGGTCACAGATTCCACTCTCACGAGTGACATCCTTTGTAGTAACACCATTTTTCATGTAGAATGGTCCATAACTGCTGGGTCAAGCTTGCTCATCAGAATTTCTGGGGTTTGATCTGGCTGAGTGACTACCCAACTCCGGGAAATCCAAAGAATACAAGTACCAACAGTCAGAATTCCTACGTCCCATACAGTGTGCTGCTCCATTTGGGAAAATTGCATTAAGAATCTCCCCTTCTTCCTGGAAATTCTAGTGTGGGCAGAAGGCTTGGTGAGAAGTTCTGGTTGGCGAGAAGGCTTCATGAAATTCTTAGGAGAGTAATAGAAGCTTGGAATGGAGTCAAACCTGCTGTAATCCCTAGCAAGTTTCAACAGAGGAACCAGTGCTTTCAGCAGAGGTGGTACTGCGTGTCTTCAGAAGGAAACATCTCTTGGAGACAAACACACTACTCACTGAGCACATAAGCTTCCTGCTTGTCAGCTTTTGTCACACTTGCAATTGAACGTTGTACATCCTTCAAAAGTGTGTCCCACTCGGATCTTGGGATGGTGCGGAGACCCCCCAGATCCTTGGTTTGCGTGGGTAGCTGCCTGGAGAACCAAACCTCTGGCAGCTTCTCTGTGCCTTCTGGAAATTGTGCACCACCAGGAGACTAGCGAACAGCCAACAACCACAGAAAGTCAACTAAATTAAATCACTCCTGTTGCTGCAGATTGTTCCAGCTGTGTTGCTAATGTTCCGGTTCCTTTTTTTTTTTTTTGCTATAATTTTATATTAAATTTTTTTTTGAAAAGGATTAGTAAAATTTTCCCAGCTTTTTTTTGTTGTTGTAAGCAAAAGTTGGATGTGAGTCTGTGGGAAATAGAGGCAGGTATAGTTCAGGCTCTTGTCCTCCGCTGTTTCCCGGTTAGAGTAGAGTGAGCGACAGGTAGCGTCACCGGCCCTCCTGTGGAAGCCTGTCAGCTCTTTGATATCACTCTCAGCAATATTTTTTGGGACCAGTTTCCTCAAGCAGAGGCTACAAAAGCAAAAATAAACAAGTGGGATTATATCAAACCAAAAAGCTTTTGCACAGTGAAGGAAACCATCAACAAAACAAAAAGTCATCCTACAGAATGGGAGAAGATATTTGTAAATCATACATTCGATAAGGGCTTAATATCCAAAATATACAGAGAACTTACACAACTTAATATCAAAAAGCCAAACAACCCAATTAAAAAATGGACAGAAGATCTGAATAGACATTTTTCCAAAGAAGACATAGAGATGGCCACCAGGCCATGAAAAGGTGCTCAACATCACTAATCATCAGGGAAATGTAAATCAAGACCACTATGAGATATCACCTTACACCTGTCAGAATAGCTATTAGCAAAAAGACAAAAAATAGCAAGTGTTGGCAAGGACGTGGAGGAAAAGGAAGCTCGTGCACTATTGGTTGGGATGTACATTGGTACAGCTGCTGTGGAAAACAGTAAGGGGATTCCTCAGAAAATTAACAATAAAACTATGTGATCCAGCAGTTCCACTTCTGGATATTTATTCGAAGAAAGTGAAAATGCTAATTCGACAAGATATGTGCACCCCTATGCTCATTGCCGAATTATTTACAATGGGAAAGACATGGAAGCAACGTAAGTGTCCGTTGATAGATAAATAGATAAAGAAGATGTGGTATATGTGTACAATGGAATTTTTCTGAGCCACAGAAAAGAATGAAATTTTGCCATTTGTAACAACATGAAGGGAACTAGGAGGTGTTATGCTAAGTGAAATAAGTCAGACAGAGAAAGACAAATGCCATAAGACTTCACTTATATGTGGAATCTAAAAAACAAACTAACAAAACAGAAACAGCATCATAGATACGGACAACAAGCTGGTGGTTACCAGAGATGGGGAGGCGTTGTGGGCACAGGTGAAATAGGTGAGGGGATTAGAGATACAGACTTCTAGTTATAAAATAAATAAGTCATGGAATGTAATGTACAGCCTAGGGAATATGGGCAATAATACTGTAATGACTTTGTGTGGTGACAGATGGTAACTAGACTTACTGTGTTAATCATTTTGTAGTGTATGTAAATACAGAACCACTATGATGTATGCCTGAAACTAATAGGATATCGTACATCAGTTACACTTCAATAAAAGCAAACGTGGATAAGGCAAAGTCTCTTGACTAGCATTTCCAAACTAGTGCTCTTCTTAAATGTCATCCCTATTTTTTAGTTTGGTATGTATCCCCAGAGTTTTGTTTCTGCCTTACGTTCATTCATACTTTCATATATACACGCTTACATCCTTACACACAGCCATATGAATGTATGAACTAGTAGAGAGTGTATGTTCTTTTATGTTTTCTTTCTTTTCTTTGTTGCATAAATGATATGTCTTACATTCTTTCCATGTCAGTTCCTATAGCTCTGTGTTTTTCTTTTGAAATTGTGTGGGTTCCATGTTATGGACTTGGTATGGTTTGGCCGTTACTGACTGATGGGCTTTGGGTGTTTTGCTTCTGCTTTTGATCTTTTGCTGTTACACAGAAGACCACATTGGTTATTGTACGTGTTTTTGTGCATGTACGTGTGTTTGCCCCTGTTCTGGATACCAATCATCAGTTTGTTCTAATACGTCAGATATTTTTCTGGTCTGTCCCTGTAGTAAGCCTGTATGGCTTTTGCTCTTTTTTTTCAGTGATCTTAAGCAAACCTCTTTTCCTAAGTTCATAAACACATTTTTTTTTGTATTTTAAAGTTTATGTTTATATAGTTTTGTTTTTAACATTTAGTTCTTTAATCCATCTGAGGTTTATTTTGGGGAGTGGTGTGATGTAGGGACCTAAATTTGTTTCTTCCAAATGGCTGGCAGTTGTTCCAACACCACTCATTGAATGGCGAATCACTGATTGGAAATGCCTTTATCCTTTACTTCTATGACCACTGCTAACCAAAATCTGGAGTACATGCTAGGACCGGACAGTATTCTAAGCACTTTCCAAGTATTAGCTCTTAATCTTCACACCTACTCCTTTATAGTCGAGGAAATAAGGCACGAGGGGTTAAGTAATTGCTCAGTGTAACACAGCTGCTCAGTAGTAGAGCTTGGCTTTTACTCCATGAGTCTGGCACCAGAACCCACCCTCTTAATCTTATATGAGCATGAGAGGTTTGAATTGACAGATTTACTTGCCATTTCCCAGCAGCCTGAGCTAATAATTGCTTAGATTTTCACTTCCGGGATCATTTTTGAAAACTTAGGCCTGGAGACATGGAGGCCAAATTGTGGTTTTTAAAATTGAAGATAGTCATGGAAATTTAGGGTAAATCCAAATAAAAACAGTATTTCCTCATATTTATTTTAACATAATTCTGATAACAAAGAAGGCATAAGATCTTTAAAGTTTTTTAAGAATGTCATCCAATTCTGAAACTTGAGAATATGACTGATTATACTAGTGAAGTTTATTACTAGATTGAGGAAATGTTGGTGCCACTAGGGGTTTTATTTAATATTGAGATGGTTACCAGTTACTTTATTGTTTTCTGGTATTCCTTGTCCTGTTTTTCCCTTAGAATAGATATGAAATGGTAGAATGATTTTGTGACTTATAGCTAGACTAATCTGGAATGAAATTCCAGCTCTTGTGCTTACTGTATTTCCTTGGGCTGGTGATTGAATCTCTCTGAACCTCTGCTTTTTCATTTTTAAATTAGGTAATAATACTCAGGGGTTACGGTATGATATTTAAATAAGACATTTGTAAAATTCCTACCAAGATACATAGTATGCTATAAATATACTATACATTTTAATTTCCTTCTTAAAAAATATGTATATGAAGGCCCTTAGCTTAGTGAATAATTTACTTTTCCCATGTGTATCTCTTACAGAGGAATACAATAATTTTTATTTGGGAGATTTTTAAGTGGACTACTTAAATAAGTGAGTTAATTCTTAGCTAATTTTTATGAATAGATTTCTATCTCAAATAACTGTCAGTTCATTATGTTCGAGTAATTTATTTCTGTTCTTTTTGTTTGAACATTCTAGGACATGTGGACAGTTTTTTCTAGAGAAATAGTTTTAAGGCCATCTCAGTCTGTGAGATGACCTATTATAACTTAAATATGTCCTCCTTTATGATTTCTGAACATTCTTTTAAAATCAGTCCCTTAGATACCACATCGTCATGTATACTCTGTTAATAAGATGAAGTTGAATCAGGCGGTCTCTGAGGCTCCTTGTAACTCTGAGAGTCGGTCATTCTTGGAAGTGTGCATTATCTAAGAAATTTTTCTTAAAACAGATGGCAAGGTTATCTTTCGCTTTTATTAGATGTCGAGATACTAGTCTCCAAATAACTTTACAGCTGTATGCTCTATTAAAAAGCTTAATAAACTATTTTATATGGTAGATTGTGAAATTAATTCGTTAAATATTCTATTTTATATGACACAAGAATTAACTCATTTTACTGAAAGAAAGATTCCTTTAATATTAAAATTGTCTTGAATAATTTAGAAATTACATTAAATTGAGTAGTTTTCTGTGTTACCATTTATAATTATCAGTATATTGTGTTGTAAATTTATAAAAATGCTGATGAGGTCTGGCCAATTCATTGCCCAGGTGAGAGTTTACAATAATGAATTACTCATTTTTTGTGAACCTATTCGGTGTTAGGAAAGCAGCATGTACTATAAATATGTATTTTGCGGTTGAATAGACAAGTCTGTTTTTCAGTTAAGTGGGTAAGTGTGGTGTGGGTAAGTGTAACTTTTACCAATCAAATGGTAACTCTTTTATGGAAAATTTATAAAATGAGAATGGTGGATGACTTCCTCTGTTTTGATAAAATGAGCTCTCAAGTCGCAGTCACGCGGTGTCACGGAATGAAGGCCCTGGTGTGTTTCTCCCGCAGGCGCGGCGGTGGCGGGGATTTACCGAGTGGCGGGGAAGAACATGGCCCCCCTGGAAGCGCTGGTCTGGGGCGTCGGACAGACTGTACTGACGTTAATCATCTCCTTCTCAAGGATCCTCGCCACACTCTGAGGTTTCTGTGGGAACGGCTTACTTCACAGAAGGAAACGGATGTACAGAATCTCTGAAAATGGCATCGTTAACACGTGGGATTGAGGTTGTGCAGGAACGTGGAAGGAGCAGGTCAGAACATGAGGCCTTGCGCCGTGTGGGGAGACCGCCCTCTGGTGTCGAGAGCTCGCACTACCGCCCTGCACCTTACGTGCCTCGTCCGGCCAGGCGCGCCGCACGGTGGGAAGCTGCGGGAACAGCACCTTGCTCGCTGCCGATCAGGTTAACGTTGGTGTTGAATCTTCGTTCTCAACAGTGTTGTATTAAGTTGCAGGGATGTTTTGAGGAAATGATATATGTGCCAAACTTTTCTTTTTTTAACATTGGTCATGTGACAATTTGCCAGTGTAGACGTAGATGAGTGCTGTGAACGTTTGACAGGAATTCAGGTAACCTAGTGAGATGTTTGTTTCGTGATGCTAAATCCTGTCTGAGTGCTGAAGACATTTAATATGAGATAAATTATTTGATTTTTGATGTTGAATGTTTCTGGGATTTAGGGCTTTCGTATGTTTAGGCATTATTCTCATTTAATTTATATGGAAAATAATACTTAATGGAAAACTAAAGTCTTTTTAAGGACTCAAAGTAGATCTATAGGGTGCATCCTTTTCACTCACTTAAATAACACTCTTAATAGTTTCCCTTATACATCAATGTTCTGTTGATAAGAATTCAAAAACTTTGAGTCACGCACATCGATTGTAGTTTGTGTCATAAAAATGTAATTTGAAAATTTTGTTGTAAATTTTTTAAGAAAAGAAGTCTGAAATGCATGTTGCATTCCTTGACCCTTCTAAAGAAAGTTTTGACCATGTATTTCATGGAGAAAACATCTTTATAACTAGTATCTCAGTGGGATTATATTACTTGTTACATATGTCTTGATTTTTGACAAAATGTAAACAGTCTTTCATTCTGGAGTATTAACTATATTTAAAGAGTGGCCTAAATTAGGCTGTGGAAAGAAAAAGCCTCATTTGTAGATAAGTGACAAGTAAGTTATATAGGAAGAGTAATAAACTGTCTCACTTTGGATATGTGGTAATATAATTTCGCTGAGTAAAAATGGAGGAATTTAATAAATAATTTTAAAATTTGGAATTCACCTCAGCATATCAAGACAGTACTGAACATATATTTGGGTGATTCATTTCAGTTGCCCAGTCCTTGATTTATGTTCTCATTTAAGTTTACTAGAATCTGTGATGACATTTGTTAGAAGTGAAAAATTACTTAGTATAAAACATTTGGAGAGGTTTTGGTGATATATAATTGTTTTTAACAGTATAGGAAGTGAGGGAAACAGAACTGGTGGAATTTGTCCTCTGAGATTTTTCTAATACCAGGTACAATTATAAGTGGGCTAACTCAACGGAAGAGCCCCTGTAGAGAATAGGAAGTTAAGGACAATTCCAAAAATAATCTGCACAGTCTAGCCTCGCTGTTTTATAACCTGACATGGTAAAAAGCAGATTTTATTAGGTTCCATTTAAATTTAAGTCCTTTGCTACCCACGCCACTTTTTCTCCACCAAAAAGCAGAATATATCAACAACTTCACAGTGAGGAGCTAGGGCGATCCTTTTCCCAGTGGGGAAGCCAGTTTTGGGGGGTTTGCTAATGCTGTGGCTTGGAAATTTGTTTTAAAAAACCCAATAAGCAACTCTGCATTCTTAGAGATCTCTGAAGTAATTCTTCAAATTGATTCTTTTTATTATGTACAAGCCTGAAATTATTTTCCATGTGTTCTTTGTATTCCTGGTATTTTCTCAAATTAAATTTAGGCATCAGTTTTCCAGGTCAGGTTGATCTCTCTTTTTATGTTAGACTTGAATTGTGCTCTTCCTTTACTGTGGCTTTTCTGTCAATAATTTAAAGTGTTCATATTCTTTGAGAGGAATTCAATAACATGTTGAAATTGTTTCAGACCCACAAAGTGAATATTTGTTTTAACATATGGTTATTTTATGATTTAAGAAAGTTGTCATGGTAAGGTAATATGGAGCACATGGTTCAGAATCCACAATTAACCAGAAAATAGCTTAGACACATTAAATGTGTGAACGCATGCGCCAAAGAGACTTAAACTCCTGTTTCTACTCTAGAATGGAAGTATAATTGGATGGTTAATAGTTAGTTTGTAGAGTCTCCTGCAATTATCTCATTATCAAGTTGCTTTATGTTACGAATTGTGTGTGTGTATATGTGTGTGTGTATTTTTAACTTTTGGGGAAATTTTTGGTTTCTTTGTTGTTTTTAGTTATTTCCATTGGGATTTTGTGCAGCTGTCACTCTTAGGATGTTTTGAAATGCAGTTGAATAGTGTGAATTGATGAAATTGTCTTAATAGCTATTTCTATGCTGAGATTTTTAAAAAGTTAATGGTTTTCCTATAGATACAAGAAAGGTTTAATGATATATATCTACACACACATATATATCATTATATACATATATATAAAGCTGCTATATATGAATACAGTCTAACTGGAAAGCTTTTGTTCAATGAACACTTTCATATTCTAGTGGATAATTTGGTATATTTGTTGAGTTGAATGACCTTTTAATTAGGTTTGAGGATGTTTGAGATTTTTGAATTTGGGGAAATTTTTTTGTTTTAATAGTGCTGTTTGTGATATGACAAAAGCCCTTATTGATATATTTGGGTTACATCTTCTTAAAATTTGTATGTGAGTTAGCAGCAGATTTTCTTTGTGATAAATGCAGGAAGCGAGGGGGAAATCTTCTGCAGTTTACACTCCTTTATTTAAAATAATGTTTAATAAAGTATTGCTGACAGTAACATCCATTCCCCAAAGAAGAGACTGCTATATCCCCTGACTAATGATTATTTAACATACTGGTTAGAAATGTCACCGTTAATGATCACCGTTAGTCGGGGGGGCATCGTGTAAGCTACAGATATGCGTGCAGTCTTTAAATGAAGGAGGTGCAAGCAGTCAGCCCCAGGGCATGCGTCTGTCTGTTGCCTAGAGTACGGGAAGGCCTAAATGGTGGCTGTGTCCGTGTTTGCAGCTTGATTATCCTCCTTGTAGATCTTACTGTTTACTCAACAGTGTTAGAGTGGGTTACCCAGTGTACTTTCTTAGTATTTGCAGCATACATTTCCACTGCCCAAAAAAGTGTAAGGGTTTTGTTTGTGCTTTAAGTGAGAAATAAAGAAATAAGCTGCCCTCTAGATCATGTGTTTGTGATGTAAGGAACAGGAATAATTTTAAATCAAACAGTGTTGTTGGACAGAGTCTTTAGAGAACCTCTAACGAAGATGAGGAGAGTGGGGCTGCCATGTTCACGTGCCCAGGCTGACACTTAAATGCCAACCAGCTTAGTTTTGTAAACGTTTTTGGTGGATCCACTGTGTATAGAGTGCTGTGCCGAGTGTTTTCTATAGAAAGTACAAGGATGACCACGAGGGGATTCCTCCCTTGTCCACCAGGAGCTAGCAAAATGATCTAAATCCTTAAAAGTTTGGGACGACATTTTGCTTCCTGATTCTAGTTGAGAGTTTAAGTCCTGTTTTTTCCCTCAAATTCTGATTTTCCCAGTTTATCCATCAAATGGAATTTCAGTAACTGAGATATCATTGCTGTGACATACTGAAGAGAATACTAGAATCTAAGCCAGTGACATAGATTTGAATCCAGGCCTTGTCACTTGTCGACTTCTTGTTTATGAATGGCAAAGCAGTGCACACTTGACAGTAAATGATCAATAGATAGTCATTAGAATTTTTTAATCACATTTTGCATTACCAGTTGAATATATTGTTTTGCAAAACTCGTCTGTTTTCTTCCATTTCCACATTTCCCCTACATATATTTTAAGAAGGAAACTAAAAAATTTTTCGTATAATCTTGCTTTCTTTACCTCCACATCTTTATTTTTAAAATCAGCAGATATTTATCTAAGAGCACTTTTGGGAGTTGGTGGTGTGGAAATGGCCTGGGCAAGCAGGATTAAATTAGGAGTGCATTTACCAGTACTAAAATGGGAAAGGGGTAAAGGCGGCCAGTATTCACCCCTTTACCTTGTCCTGCTTCCTTCTAGTAGAGTCAGCCAACATTCATTGAGTCTCTGCTACACGTGACTTACCATCCTTGTTTTAGGGATGGGCAAGTGTCTCCCCCGTAGGTCCACCTTCTTCCTCCACCCTGGGAATTGAGTTTCGTGGTGTAGTGCCAATTCTGTAGGAAAACAGCACTGGGCTTCACTATCTACCAAGTCCTTCCTTCCATCGGCCAAAGATGCATAAGCCCTCGTTGTAGTTTGTTTGCTTGTTAACTTAAAAGGTAATACTGTTATTTTTAATTTATGTCCATTTTATAATTCAGGAAGCAACAAGATGCTAAGAGTACTTTCTGAAGTAGTCTTAAACTACTACACTCTTGGAGCCGTTAACAGATTTTTCTCTCATCAAGTCTTGATCAGAATCTCTTCAAAGACTTATTACTTGTTTGTAAGATGTGAAGAGTGTGGAAAGTTACTGAAGAAATTCCAGTGCAGAGAAGTTTGGCAACACTTCGTGGGTGCCTGGGCAAATTGCTGTTTTTTTCTCATAATCAGGGATGAGAATTTTAGTAGTTAAAGTTGACTAGTAGTTGAATGGTCTCAGAATTTCCCTTCAGTTCCAGTCCTTTTTATAAAGTCTTGAAAGGACACTCTCCAGGATAAAAAGGACATTATTTAGTTAAAGATGATAAAGTTTTTCAAAGATGTGGTAGCATTTTGTAGCAGAAGGAAGTGTAAAGGCAGGAGGAAATGTCGGAGGGGTGAGGCGTATGTGATGAAGTTCCCACATTGTGTGAGCACCGCCTGCCCCTTCTGTGAGGACTGTGGACCACGCTGTGTGAGGCTGTGGACTGCGTGTTTACAAAATGCTGTGTTTCTGTATGTGTGAGACTTAACTTACACAGAGCATTTGGAACCGTATTACATTGGTGTGTGTGTGGTGGTAGGTTTGCTCTGCTAACTGGAGAATCTCTTCAGTGTGGGCCATACGATGTTTCTGAGGAGGCTACTGAAGGAGTTATCTAAAAATGTATTTGTGAATTTGTTTGGGGGAAGTGATGCTTAATATATACAGTACTTTCTGTAAATGTGGAGATGTACCAGTTACGACTTTATTAAATTAGTGGAAACACCCAAATTTCTGAGTGAACTGAGCTATGAACCGTAACCATCTCCTCCCGTGAGTTAGGGACTCACTTTCACATTCATTGCACATTTGTTGAATTTCTGTAATAGCCCTTTCTTGATTTTGAGAACTATTTAGCAGTTTCTTAAAAAATCTCCTTCTCCCTTCCATACAGATGTCATATGTTATAGTTGAAACATATGTACAGTTTGTTGATAGAATCAGAAGTGCTGGTTTAGAAGAGAATGTTCTCAACACCTTATGGTTATGCAGCTATAATCTTACTGAAAAGTAAATACTATAGGCAAGTCAAGAGAGCATGAACCGCTTACATATTTTTTACATTGTGTACTGCACCCGTATAATGTAGATCTCCCCTCAGGGGTAACGTGACTGCCCCCTTTTGGGGGATGTATTTAGGTATGTCACTGAAATTGGAAAGCAGTGTAACATAAATATATAGGAACTATAATGCATAATCTCCATAACTGCAACACTTTTTCTCCTAAATATATTTTATATTGCTAATTTCTAAAAATCATCACTTTTTTAGAGCCCTGTATAAATGAACATTAAATCTATAGTACTACTGATGATGAAATGTTTCCTTTGTTTTTAAATTATTTTTACATCATCACTAATTATCTTTGGGAAGGAACATTTTAAAGTTTTCTCCACAGAAGCAAGATAGCGGCACTTGTTTGAGTAGTAGAAATGATTTACTTTCAGTGCTGGGTGAGGTAATAATTGTTAACACTTTTTTAGTATTTGTGATACTGGATGCATTTACAATGGAGGAATTTTTTTAAACTCTGGCCCTCTCCCCAACACACATGCATGTGTGCACACACAAACACACATACTTACATGAGCCCTACCCATTTAGATGATCAGTGTAAAATTCCACAGTATTTTTCGTTTAGGTCATATAACTTGGTAAAATTCATATGATTCTAACATAAAGTATTAACCCCTGACTCTAGTCATTCTAGGATGAGGGGATCAACTTTCTTTTAAAGTTAACCAACTAAAATGCCTCTATTTAAATAGCAAAAATATAGTTTACCTAATAGGTATTAAAACTCACTTTCAAGCTGTGTTAACTCTCAGACCACTGATGAATCATTTAGTGAACCACAGTACCGTTTTCGAAAGCTAAATGATGCCTTAGTGCCTTGGAAGTTAAGATCCTTTTGCAAAGTGAATTTAGGGAGATACAGGATCAGTTCACCTGTTACTGGGGATTCAGAGTTAGGGTCAGTGTAATTGAATTAACTCCTTATGGTTTAATAAATATAAATATCAGTTATTTCACCATTGACTATGACAGATGACAACTACTTCCATTGCATTTTTATAATGTGGCATTTGTCTCTATTTTTTCTTTTTCCAAGTAAGTTTGAAATGGGGAAAAACGTAGTTGAGATAATTAAATGTGAGATTTTAAAATTTAGTTTTGTTGTAAACTAGAGATTCTAGTGTGAACAGTGTTAGTTTTATATTGTAGTCCAAGGGCAGACACTTTATGTAACCTTTAGGAATATGTTTACCATCAGGGATTTATTTTTACTATAGAAATATTTAACGTACTGTGAAGCTTAAAGACAGGAAGAACAAACATGGAGGGGTAACGCGCAGCCGAGGCGTCTGTGATGAAGCACCCTGCGTCATGTGAACACATCCTCCCTCTGTTAAGACTTTAAACTACACTGTATGGGTATGTGTGCTGCATGTTTACATAATACAATTTAATTTGGAAGGGTTATTTAAAAAACTATGTTTATGTATAATACCTAACAAGCTGTAAATATTGTATATACTATTGATTTTTAATTTTATATAAGCAGTTTTTTAATTTCCCAATTCATGTACAAATCTCATTGTGTATATAGCATAATTTCCTGGAGAACACAATTTTTGCAGTGAATTTTAATTATTTTAATTGTGGTAAGCATCAGGTTAGCCTTAGAGATGTTGATCTTTATTTTAAATTATTTTTCACCACTCATTTTCTTCAAAGGGCGGCAATAAACATACGCAAGTTACTTTTGGTTATAGAAAGTTGGTCCGCAAAGATAAGATCTAGGTTCCAATTCATTGCTTTCCAGAAAAGATGCACAGTGAACATCATCCGCTGTCTAATCACAGGACTGTTTCTGAGGTCCCTATGTGTCTCTCTTCTTTGTAATATACAGGGTGAACTCTTCACTGATACACACAAAACACCTGTTAAAAGTGAACCCAGCACTCAAACATTACACAGAATTTATTGGATTAAAGATTTGTAATATACAGTATTTTAATAAAGTTTCTGTATTCAATTTCATGCACTTATATATAAATAAACCTGTCTTTAAAAGCTTTATGGGGTGTTTGACTCTTGATGATGTATCTTTTCAACTCATTTGCTGTAGGCTCAAATATTGTCTTTCACCCTTTTGTCAGTTTTTCTGGGACAGTTTTACATGTGGGTTTTGGAGGTAAGCAAGAAGCCTAAAAGACAAGCTTGGCCTAGTTTATGGTTTTACCTAGGACCAGTTCCAAGCCACGTAAGCATCTACTTCTAAGAGTTATTGCTTTAAAAAGCATACTGTCACTTGTATTAATAAGTGACTACCATTTATTTTGTGCTTATGATCTGCTAGACACTTCATCTGTATTCTTTAACATTTACGGTAATCCTTCAAGGTAAGTGGATTACTAAGGATTCCTAAAAGGAATCCTTTACTTTACAGGTGAAGCATTTGAGCTTCAGAGAAGGTGAGAAATTCCTCAAAGTCACACAGCTAATAATGCTGAGCTGGGGTTTTCTTACTCTATTACCTGTGTTTTTTCCCTGCTGTGCTATGTTGGTTTCCACAGAGTATTCTGGGAGCTCTTACCTGTAATGAGATAAAATCTCATTATCGACAAGGACCAGATGGCATTATGGGGATTTGAAAAATTATCAACTCAGGATTTGTATTGTCAAATTTAGGCATATTTTGAATTTTCGTTAGGGATTTCTAAGGGGTGGTACTAGGTACCCAGCAGGCTCCATGTTCTCCTCCCTGAGAAGAGATTGGCGCTGACAGAGCCAGTTACTGTCATATTTACAACTCTGCTGGAATGAAAACTAGCTTAACTTAAAAAATTGTACAAGGAAAATGTAAGTAAACATTTTTCACATACACTGACATTTCACATACACTGACATACAAAATATAAATCTTGAGATTAAAGAGAAATTTTCTATTTTGATTCTATTATCTTTGGCTCTTACAGTAATATTTTTTAAATGTCTTTGTAATAGGTATGCTGTATGGATATTTTGACATTTACTGAGCATTGAAAGAAAGCATTGAATTTCAGATTTACTGCCACCTACGTAGAACAAGACCAGAGTAATGTAGAAGAAAGATGCTCAGGTCTTACACTGACCTTTATGATGGAGAATGAGTCCTACTTAGACTTGTGGAGGTAGAATATCTCAGACTTACTGAATAGGTACTTATGTCGTCTATGTTTTAAAGCTGAATCCTTGTTAATTCATAAAATAGTACCTAAAGTTTTAGGGTAGGGAGAGAAAAGTAAACAGAACCTATGGCAGGTCATTGAGGAGTAGAATTTGGGTTCACCTCCAGCTTCTAATGGAGTCTTAACAGAAGAATCTATCCTGTTCCACTGTTCCTGTTTATCTGCCCTTCATTTTCTATTATTCATTCTCAAGAGACATTTTTCTTTTGGCCAATTTTGTCAATATTCTTCAGGTTCAGAGCGTTCTGGGGACTGATTTGCAAAATGGAATTGCCCCAGGTGGTTTTCTTGCAAAGGCAGTCTTGTCACTAGATGGCGCCGTGGTTCTGTTTTATTTCCCCTGCTTTCGTCGTCTTGGCTGCTCTGCCCAGTGAACCCTGACTGACTCAGCCTGAACTTTAGGACTCGTTTCCATAAGATACATCTAACGCTAATGTTTTTCTGATAAAAATACACGTAAGGAAATTAAATGTGAGGAAAATCAAGTTTCTATGTTGTCATTAACAAATGTAACTTTCCAAAGAATGTTAGGATACAGTGTTCAGGGTTATTGGCAAATCAGAGAATCACATTAATTGTGTGATTTTGGTCATTCGTCTGGAACTTGATTTACATATTTTTATTAAATTTGTCATTCCAACTCAATGCATGATGGATTTTATCTAATTTAACAGTCTCTACTTTAGTGACATTTAGTTGCATAATTGGTCAACTTGGGATAAAAGGGAACATGCCCACATAACCCAGCCAGCCTTGTTCTATCATGACACTTTGTTTTAAATTCCTGCTCTGCCGTTTCATATTTGAACTTGGCCAACTTATTTTCCTTCTGTGATCTTCAGTTTTCTCATCAGTAAATGGGGATAACGTCTCACGTTGCATGTAGTGAGCGCTCCGCAAATACCCTGTCCCACTGGCTTCCTTCTCTCAGGTTCTGTGTACACGGAGAAGGGTGAAGTAGTTGTAGACTTTGGCATAAGTTTTGGTAGTAAGTTCAGATACCTTTATTTCAAAGTCAGAGGCAAATTCTCTTTCCATGCAGCACACACGAGCGCACTTTTAGGATTTATTTCAGGTTTAAATTGTCCCATTGAACCTTGTGCTACTTTGGCAGCAGAATCTCCCCAGGGAATTTTTCAGAAACATATCTCAGTGGAAAGGATTCTGGTTAGAAAACAGAATGGATAAACTTGCTCAGCTAGCAAATTCCTTGCATTCTCTAAAGCAAAGATGTACAAGATGAGGAAGCCAAAACCTCCAACATCAATTAAATCCCCCTAAAGACAGTGGTGACTCGCCTGTCAGCTGTGCACATAGTCATCAAACACCTCAGATCCTGTTGCAAGTGAGCTGCGGGGCTTTGTTTATTGTTCTGCAGAGACAGTCTAAATTCACACTCAGAGAAGTGTTGGTCTTCTCAGCTCCAGATTTTCTAACCTTAAAAGCACAAGTCTCAGGGGCCAGCCCACGGCAGTGAGGTTAATGTTCTGCACGCTCTGCTATGGGGGCCCAGAATTCACGGGTTAGGATCCTGGGTGTGGACTTGCTCCACTCGTCAGTCATGCTGTGGCCGCATCCCACATACAAAGCAGAGGAAGATTGGCACAGATGTTAGCCCAGGGACAATCTTCCTCACGCACGTAAAAGCACCAGTCTCTTTACACAGCGTGGTTTGTAGCAGCCATGGAGACAGACATGCCCATCCGCTCAGGGTCTCAAAGATATCAGGACTGAACTGAAGAGACCAGAGAAAAGACCCAACAGATTTTCATAAAATGATGCCTCTCCTGTCCGTTTTGCTTGTTTTTTGTGGGAATTGGTGTCAGTGGGTGACTCCAAGATGATACAAGCAGACACTTGCATTATCTTTGATGTGGAAGATAGAAGAAGGTGCAGAGATGGGTGGGAGACTTTGTAGGGTTGAGGGAACAACAAGTTTGAGAGACTTAGGACTGTTGAAAGCCTTGTTCATGTTGACTGAGTGGGAAGGTGTCAGACCTGGGTCTTCTCCCTGGTTCTGACTCCTTGTACATGAGAATTCATATTAGACAATCTCTATGCCAATTTCTTCTGCAATAAACATGGAAATAGATTAGCTCCTTTTGTTTTCTCTTAAATGCAGATTGGAACCTTCAATGGGACAACATCAGTATAGGTCTGTTATTCTTGGATTTTCCCAGACCCAGACCAGTTTGGCATCATGAACTTGACATTTGCCATATCCATTATTGTTCTAAGCTTTGGTCCATCTTTAGATTTTTTATTTGAAGCTTGTTTAACTTGTAGACTTTTTGAAAGGTGAATGAGAAGGGATGAAAATTTCAAATCCAAGTAATAATTTCTGGAGTTTTTTTTAAGTATCTGCAGGAAATATATAAAACTTATATTATTGATGGGGTAATCCTTGTAATAATGTTGGTGTTCAACTTTTATTTCACATCTATAATCTCATTTTATCCTCACAATTTGTTCTTATTTGAAAGAAAGGTAAAATGTATTTTATTTTTCTTAAAGCCATTTACCTGGTTAAACACAGGCCTTTTATGAGACCTGGGCAGCTGTTTGGACAAATGCTAATGATAAGAGCAGACCAGAAATGACCACAGCAACTTGGTTGCCTGGACTTGAGTAACCTTCAGAGGTCTGAAAAGGTCCCCTTGGAAACTGGTCACTTCCTAGGACTCGTGACTAGGTCCTTCTCCTGTCACAATGCTTCGGCTTAAGACTTTTTAAGAAAGGATGCAGAAAGCCCAAATGTGTTCACATGAGATCTTATTGGGCCTTAACCTGTTTTCTTCTATCAGGAATATCTTACTTGAAGTGGGTATCTTCAGTCATAATTACATGCCAATGTCGATAGAATGCTCGGATCACTACAAGTGCCACCATGTTAAGATTTTCCAAGATTTAGCTTAATTTAGCAGATTATTTCTTTCATAAATAAAACATCATGATTTTCAGAGACTCTTGTTTCACCTCACTGGTTCAGTGCCTGCCACCAATTACCTGGACAGGAAAAGTTGCCAAGTCAAAGCAAAACATTTAAGTGTTCCTGGACATTTCGACCCCAAAATGGATGAAAGAAAAAAAGTGCGATGTTGGTATCCTAGAAATGGGAAGCGGTGTTTTAGGGATATCTGTAGACAAGGGCCTGCAGTATGTCAGCAGCAGGTTTGTTAGCTATGATGGAAAAAATGAGCAGCGTGCTGATTAACCTCAGAATCAGGATCAAGAACAACACATCCACCCAGGACATCAGGAATCTGTTTGTGGTATTTGAAACTGTATTGGGTAAACTATTAAAAGCTTGAACCAAAATTTAGATTACAACAGTGCCCATAATGACCAGCTCAGCATTATGTCAGCCCCTCCACAACGGAAGAGATAAGAGGCAGAGATAATAAATTGGCAGATAACCCGAAAAGACTTTTGCCTGACATTGAAATTTGTACTTCACAAATAGCGCTTTGTATTTTAAAGCATTTCTTTCTCAAATGTATATGAACTTTGTCTTCACTTACTGTCTCTGGAAGGGGGCAGAGGTGGTTGAGCATCAAAGGGTTTCTCTACATGAAGAATAGATAGAGAATTAAGATGGATCAAGTAGATAAGATTTTTTCAAAAGGAACAGTCCCAAAGTTAACAAAGTAAGCCCTTCAAATAGGTCCTGTCACTAAAGCAGGGCTTTTTCCATAAGCTAAAAGGACAATCAAGCCAAAAATAATTAAAAATTGTGTGTTTTTTTCCTTAAATATCCATTCCGTATCTTTAATATTGGAAAATATCAGATGTCAACTTGAGAAATGTATCAAATCATTTGGTAGGGGTCCAGGTTTGTGATGTACACCT